ATTGCTGGTAATAGATTCTATGACTCCATTGGGGAAAACCTGCAACTTTCCTTCCTTTAAAAGCTGGAAAGGAAATATGTTCTCCATGAACTTTACATCCCTGCTTACAAAAAAGGAATTAGTCAAGAGATTATATAGTCTATGCTTTCTGAGATGGAGAATATTCCATATGAACAACTCCAATGGCTCTTGCTGCAAACTTATCTCCCCCTACTAAAATTTTGGCAAAGCACAGACATCCTATAATCCTCATATGCTGTAAAGATGGTGCTCTCCCATACATCATCTCAAATGAGGACTTCCCTGATAACACTGACAGGGGAAGTTTATAATGATATAAATTGCTGCATGCACACATTCACCCCAAAACTTGAGAGGCAAATGACCTTGCAGTCTAATTGCCCTAGCCACCTATAGTATATGTCTATGTTTCCTTTCCACTACCCCATTCTGTTGTGAGGTATGGACACAGGACTTTGATGATTCATTCCATACAATTTGAACAAACTACTGCATTTAGAATTGAAAAATTCAGTCCCATTATCACTTCTCAGAATTTTGACTGTTCCTCCAAATTGAGTTTTTATTAAAGCAAAAAATTGTTTCAAGCATACAATCACATCACTCTTCAGTCTCAACAAGTAAACCCATATCATTCTATTGTAATCATCTACTATAGTAAGAAAGGATTTGTATCCATTGTGACTTGCTACTCTATATGGACCCCATACATCTACATGAATCATCTCAAAAGGTTTATTTGATCTACTTGTACTCTTTGGAAATGGTAATCTTCCTTGTCTAGCTAGAGGGCATATTGTGCAATCTCTTATTCCATCACTGTTGATCTTGAACTTCATGTTTGGAATTTGTTTCACCACTTTATCAGGGGCATGTCCAAGTCTCCCATGCCAGACCCCTAGTTCCTCTTCTTCTTTGGAATGATCATGTGTTTGCACAGTTGCAGCCTTGGCTTTGTCCTGCTGATGCTGCAGATTATACAAACCTTCAAGCTCTTTACCAATCCCCTTCACTTTCCCATTGTGAAGGTCCTGCATGATCCAGAAGTCAAGATAGAAAGATAAAAAATATTGTAAGTCCCTTGTAAGCTTAGAGACTGACAACAGGTTGTATTTAAAATCTGGAATGTATAGTACATTCCTAATAACACCACATTCACCGATCCTACTTTCTCCACTACAAGCAATATCTAGTGAGGTACTATCAGGTAAATAAACCTTAGATCCAGACTTTAGGCTATTAGTATTTATGTTGTCAAGCAATTCTCTGGTGTGAACCATGTGATTGGTTGCACCAGAATCTACTATCTAATTTTCATTCTTTGTTTTGTCAGCTAGTGTAATGGCCTTACTCGTACCTGCAAAATGCTTTGAATTGTCACCTGTGTCTTTGTTGATCAATTTTAAAATTTTATCATATTGTTCCTGAGTGAACATGATTGGCTGAGGCAGTATAGGTGTTGGATTTCTAACTGGTGAGTTCAACATCTGCTGTCCCTCCTGAGATACTGTATTTGCTGCTGCTTTTCCCATGTACTACTGTCCTTCATGCGTTGTGGTGTTAACCATTGGTCTTCGTGGAAAATTGTTGGTTTTCCTCTTCATTATGAAATCATTTGGATAGCCATGTACTTTGTCACATGTTTCTCTTGTATGGCCTTTATAGTTACAATAATCACAAAACAAATTGTTTCTTCTGGGCTTATAAGTGTTTCCTGTAATCATGCCTCCTTTATTAGTGAACAATGTTGTACTGTCTCCCATATCTAATGCTTGTGTAGATTTTCCCAGATTTCTTTGACTTTCTTCAGAAATTACCATGGAATACACCTTGTTGACAGAAGGTATTGGGCTCATCATCAAAATTTGACTCCTAGGCTGTGCATATGTCTCATTTAGGCCCATCAGAAACTGTAGCAACCTCTGATATTCAAAATGCTCTGAATAACTCTTAGATTCTGGATAATAACATCCAGGACATGGCATCAAGGCATCATATTCTTCCCATAAATCTATCAACCTTGAAAAATAGGCCGACACAGTAGAAATTCCTTGCGACAAAGTAGCAATTTCTTTATGTAGAAAAAAAATGCGAGATCCATCCACTTTATCATATTTATCCTTCAAATCTGTCCAAACTTGATGTGCACATGATTTGTACACAATACCACTGAACAATTCCTTGCTCACAACATTCATAATCCAAGATAAAACTATTGCATTACACTTCTCCCAAAATTCTTGCAACGACTGATCGAACTTATCCTTAGTGCATCATCCATCAACAAACCCTAATTTACTCTTGCCTATCAATCCTATTTTCATATATCTACTCCATAATGCATAGTTCTCAGTTCCAGTTAGCTGAATTAAAATCAAGGAGCTACCTGGAGTGTCATTTGGTTGTAAAAATAGAGGGTGATCATGATCGATGGTTATTGCAGTTGTTCATGTGCTGGTTCCAGCTGAAGCTTCTTCTCCAATTGCCATGGCTATCAATTCACGTAAACTAAGTTTTGAATTCCACAATTAACAGAGTTTTCAGTCGCAAATTGCAGAAAAGCTGTGTGCCCTAGCTTAATCGATTGCAAAAATCACAATCGATCTACAACAAAAATTTGTCGGAGAAAACGAGGAATGACGATTGCAGTGAACACGAATCTATCAACCCTGCTCTGATAGCATAATGAAGATTTGAGAGCTTCAGTGAAGTCGACAATGGCGGAAAGCAGAAGAGAAGGTTCTAGAGAGAATTTTCTATTTGAGAGAAAACTAGCTTGTATTATTGAAGCTCTATCTTTACAATGAGCTGATACTATGTATATATACACCTCTACAATTGCATCTAATCTACAACTTTACATCACCTAAACTAACCAATCCCATAATTAGATATAACTAACTAGTCCCTCTTAACCGACTTAACTACACTCACGTGATTGACACGTGACTACTCCTATCTTCAACTATATATATATATATATATATATATATATATATATATATATATGTATAATTATGTATAATCAATATATTGTAAAGTAAACAGTGAATCGAGCTGGCTATTTATATGGACCCAAAATATTTGCTATCCTCTTTTTCTTATTCTTATTTTTTTTTGGGTGACAGAAGGCCACTTTTCAGAATATTAATCTAACCATTCTAAATTTTTTAAAGTTGGAAAGAAATTAAAAGAAGTTTCTTTTCTTAATTGGCGTGTG